CCCAAATACTGATGGGGGAGGGCGTTAACCAGGAATCAGCTAGCGAAGGATTGAAAAAATGCTTTCTTCCTTCCTCCTGTTCTCTTCCCCCTCCCTTCCCCCTGCTTCCCAGTCTTTCCATACATTGCTTGGTGAAAATTCAGTGGTTTCTTGGTGAATCCACTTTGGAAGACAGTTCGGTGACATTTTATAAGCCTTGTGACTCAGAAGGTCCACGCCTAGGGATATTCTTACAGAGATGCATGCTTATAGGCACCAGAAGGCAAGGATGTTTAAGAGCCCCAACTGGAAACAACCCACATGTCCACCAACAGGGTAATGGATAAACAAACCGTGGCATACTTTTAATGGAATACTGCACAGCAGTGAAAGGGAGTCAACTGCAACTACATGCGACGACAGTTGAATCTTAAAGGGATAACTTTGAACCCAAGAAGCCAGCCCTCACAGAATACATACTATATGATTCCATTTAGATAAAACCCCAAAAAGGTGCAAAGTAGAACTGTATTGTTTAGGAATGCACAATAAGGTAGTAAAAGTATCAAGAAAAGCAAGGCTGTTAATACCATCAAGTCAGGATAGTGATTATTGCTGGGGGGAAGGGGTGTGTGTTTATGGGGAGTTAGCAATGTTCCACTTCTAGCCCTGAATCTGAGTGTTAGTTTTATGAATATTTATTTCACGGCAGTTTCTTAAACTGTACATTTATGCTTTAGGCACTTTTCTGTTTTTTCAACTTCACAATATAAAAGGGGGAATGGGAAATAAACTGCAGTTGCTCCGGGGAGAAGTGAACACCATGGGAAGTATATGACCCAGAGGCCCTATCCAGCCAGCCAGGACCCGGTTAGCTGACTGCTCCTGGTAGTTAGGATCTGCCACCTCTGCAGTCTTTTCAAAGATGGGGTGAATCTTTTTAAAAATAAGTTTTATTTTTCAATTGCAGTTGATATACAATGTTATATTAGTTTCAGGTGTACAACCCAGTGATTAGACATTATATAACTTACTAAGTGATCATCCTGATAAATCTCATACCCATCTGACACCACACATAGTTATTAGAATATTATTCACTGTATTCCCCAGGCTGCACTTTACGTCCCCACGACTATTATGTAACTACCAATTTGTACTTCTTAATTCCTTCCCCTCTTTACCCAGCCCCCTAACTCCCTTCCCCTTTGGCCACCATCAGAATGTTCTCTGTATCTATGATTTTGTTTCTGTTTTGTTTGCTTATTATTTTTATATTCCAAATGTAAGTGAAATCATATGGTATTTGTCTTTCTCTGTCTGGCTTATTTCACTCAGCACAACACCCTTTAGGTCATGTGTATCTTTTATTCCAATTTGGGAGGCCTCTGTGATATGAAACTTTGACAAAAGTACCCCAAACCGTTCTCCCAGTTTTCAAATTTCGACTTTTGCTAAATAGACCACAGTTTGTGTAGAGATGAACTAATTGCACCTCTAGACACCAACCCCCTTCTTTTTAAAGTTGTTTCCTCCCTTCCTCCCTCCTCCTGCTTGCAAGATGCTGGCTGCATCCGGTTGTCAGCAGCCGAAGTGGACGGAACCCGTTTGAAAACGAGGTTTCCTCCCCGGGGAGGAGGAATCTGTCCTCCCAACTTCCCCCCAACCTCCCGACCACCGGGTTCTCCCCTCTCTCCCCCCAAAACTCCGCGGAGCCAGGTCCCCTCGCGCCTCCTCCATTGGTCGCGGGCCATCATGTGCCGGCACTCTGGGTGGGTCTTTCTCGCGCTCAACTCCTCAGTCGCTCCTCTTTGGAGCTTGGCTGCCCGGTGGTTCAGACCTTTGCGCCCATTTCCCCTTCCCTTCCTCTCACCCACCCCTTCACACCAGTCTTATTTTAGCAAAACCCAGAGGAGGAGGGGGAGGCTCTGGAGCGGGAGGAGGGAACGCCAGGCATTGCAGCATCCGGGAGCAGCTATTGAGTGGCTAAGCGACGGCGCATACCTCCCTCCCCCCCACCTCTCTGTCTCTGTCTCTCTTTTACCCCCTGTTGGGAATTTTCAGGATTTCATTGCTGCAATTTAACCCCGGGCTGAGGCACGGTTGAGCGAAGCGCTGCGCACACACACACTCACTCAGCAGAAGAGGCAGCCGCTGGTTGACTCAGGAAGAAAAAAATCACCTGGACCCTGCGGCCTCAAGACTCCTTAAAAGCCCCC